CAAACGTTTTCGTTTTGGATCGTGGGATTTTGGTGACAAGATGCGATTTTGCGGCTCAGAAGTCCAGCAATCAGAAGACCTGGAAGTGATTTCAGTCTCATTGCAGGAGTATGTCAACAAGATCAAGCCATTGACATTGGAGAAGGCTCGAAAGACCATGGTTGAAGACATGTGCACGGAGAAGGAGCACAGACAGTTGAGAGCATTGGTTGGTGCAATGTCTTGGCCCGTGACCCAATGTGTTCCTCAAGCTGCAGCCACCATCAGCCTCTTGCAAGCTCACATAAACAAGCCAGCAGTCAAAGACATGCTCGAGGCAAACAAATGCCTCAGGTTCTTGAAAGAAGCCGTGAAGACCTATGTGTTCAAGATCCGCCGGCATGGCGAGCTGCAAGATCTTCGACTTGGAGTTTACTGTGATGCCGCTTGGTCGGTACGACCAGATGGAAGCTCGCAAGGAGGTATGATGATGTTCATTGCCGATAGAGCTGAGTTGGAGAGTCACAAGCCTTTTCCCCTCACCGTGATCGATTGGGCAAGCAAGAAATTGGTGAGGATGTGCAGAAGTTCGCTCTCAGCTGAAGCGCAGTCGGCAACGATTGCAGTGGACGAATTGGAATGGGCCAAGGTTTTCTATGCTGCAATGGTGAACCCATTTGTGGCCATCCATGAGGACAAAACCATGCATTGGTTTCAGGAGTCACCCATCATCACTGATGCGAAGGCCTTGTTCGACAGCACGCTGTCAGTGACTCCTGGCATGAAGCTCTCAGAAAGAAGAACAGCCATCGAGATTTGCATCCTGAAGGAGCGATTGCATGCCGTCATGGGCAACTTTCGCTGGGTAAATTCCACTCAGCAGTTGGCAGATGGATTCACGAAGACAAGTGCACGTGAATCACTGGCATACACGTTGTCTAGAGGAGTTCATGCCCTTCGTTTTGACCCCAACTTCGTTGCAGCCAAGAAAGTCACTCAGAGTGAGAGGGACAAGGAGAACGCCGAGTACGAGAAGGCTGCAGAGTCATTGTTTGAAGGTCAGGCACTCCTGGCGGAAGATCACGACAAGAAGGAAAGGATGAACCTATGCCGTCTTCCAGGATGTCAAAAGGAGAAGGACAAGAAAGATGATGCATACCACTACTGCAGCCGTCGTCATTTCTACCTGCATTTGCATCGCAAGGGACAAGGTGGAGACGAGTGGCGAAAAGCAGCAAATTGTGCTCTAGCAGTGTTGGCAGCAAGCAGCATTGAAGGTGTCGAAGCAAACAGCACGAACGACGACGACCCTGTGTTTGACCCAGTTTTTGTGAATACCACGCTGGTCATTTTGTGCTTTGCTTTGGTGGGAGCCTTGGGTTCAGCTTGGTTGCTGAAGAACCTTGTGAAGCAGTATGCCAACAAGCTAAAGGACACCTTTGTGGCTGTGTATCAGTTCTCGTGTGCCTTAGCTTTTCGATCGTCCGTCGGTTTGAGCCATGGAACTGCAGCTGATTTCCCTGAAGCTGCAAATGACGATGCTGAAGTCGATGCTTCTAACATGGAGACCGAGGGCAATGAGACGGAGAGCGATGATGAAGTGTTGAGATGGAATGAAGTGCTCAATCGTTGGAAGCGACGATATGATGAAGTTCAAGATGAAGATGATCAAGCCAAATGGCGAGAGCTCCAGGCCAACTTGTGGACGAACCAGGTGTCTCCGCAGATGCGAGGACATGTGATCCGACACTGTCGTCCTGATGTTCGACGTGAGGAGTACTTGAAGCTCACGTTGGCCTCGACTTGTGAGAATGTCACTGATGAACAGACCCGGCAGTGGCACCGCTTTCTCAATGCACACTTCTGTTTGATCATGGAGATCCATGCTGATGTGCGAGTCAAGGACCAGAAGATGAATCAGCTCCAGTCCTTGTGCGATGCCCTACAAGCTGAGAAAGAAGAAGTAGATCCACATAAGCGAGAGCGAATGAAGTTTGATCGTGGTGAACGTGCTGACAAGATGCAGCAGACCGCTGCACACTACAACCCTGAGACGGACTCAACGCAGCTGACTCAACCGAACGGAGCATGGATGTTTGTGAGCATGTACGAAAGCCGTGTGTGACAAAGGTGACCAGTGAGTTAGATTTTTGAATCCTTTCCAGTTTGGCAAGCTCGAACAAACAAAGAGCTTTTGCCCATCTCAATGCAGTTTTCACAGCATGTACTTGAAGGTACTTTTGCTGAAGGTTTGAACGTTTGTGTGTTCGATTGCGGCCATTTAGGGCCCTTGAGTCACCGTGGTCACGACCCGATCGATCGACTTGTGGAGAAATAGGCAGGTTCGACTTTGAGTGCGAGTTCCTGTTCAATCAGAAGATCGACATTGACCTGAGGACTTTGGTGCGGACCTGAAGCTACTAGGGGCTCCTGGCATCGCTACTAGGAGAATTCTTACTAGGAACAAGAAGCTACGAACGGGGCTCTTGGCCTGAGGACTTTGGTGCATTTTTGAACTGGCAGCCTTCCGCACTGCAAATCCCAATGGTACAATCACGTTGGCGCCTTGGTTCATGGAATCAGCTGTCATGGTTCTACTCCTCGGTTCTCATGTTGCCGGGGCCGTTTTTGAGATCATTGGCACTCTGGGCGAATGTACAATCGCTAATGGCCCAGTGGCACTGGAATATTTCGTCGGTTTGTTGCCGGCTGTGGTCATGATTCACATGTTTCGCAGAAAAATCATGGATAAACACCTGCTGCTCTCAGATTTGGAACATTTCGATTTGAGCAACGCTCATTGCCGAGACCCCCTTGATCGAGAGTTCATTTGCACGGCCATTCGCGAGTGGTATGGTAGCGAAGATGCCTTCGTGCGCTACGTGCGCGGCCCGATCAGGACGGCAAAATTTAGCAGAAGATTACAACTACGACACGCAGAGAGCAGAGACGCTATTAGGGGCTCCTGGCATCGCTACTAGGAGCATTCTTACTACTAGTCACGAAAGCTAGCACCAGCTAGCTGGAGTTGTCCTTGCTTTAGCAAGTGAGGGGCTGGAATCCTCGAGATCGCCGCATCACGTGAAAACTTCATATGTAGGGGGGGCCGCCCCTCCCCCCCCCCCCCCCCGGTGGGTTCAACTCCCCCCTGGGACGCCTCTGGGACACCTCTCGGGCACCGCTTGTGGCATCCACTTTGGTTTAACTCCTCCGGGATGCGGTGCAACAGATTCAACAAGCTCACAGGTTCGTAAACACATCGGATGCATCGAATAGTGTGGCAAAGTCCAGCCACACTTCCTTAATTATCGGGGACTTCAATTCTAAGGTTGGCTGTGTCATTGCTGTTTGTGTGTCTTACATGTTCACAACGTTTTACCTCATGAGCATTTGCCTCACTCCGCTTGATGTCCCACCAGTCCGGATGCACCCCTGCTAGCTTTCGTCACCTACCCTCGGCCTCAAGTAACAAGACACGCAGACATGAAAAGAGACGACATATGATGCATAGCTTGAGGTCACGCGTAGGTTGGAGGCCACCGCTCTGAGGTTGCAGGCCATTAATGTGTAGCTTGCGGTGAGAAGTAGGTTGGAAGCCACCGTTAGTAGGTTGGACGACGACGACAACGACGACGACGACCTATTTCTTTCTTCGGGTTTTCCTCCGAACCGGTCTGCGACGTTTTTCTTAGTTTTTCTTTGTAGAAAACAGCGGCGTTCGAGGGCATACTGCGTTTTCGCTGGGTTCCCACTCTTGGCCTCCAGGTGTCCGAGCATGGTCTTCCGGTCTTTCCGTTCAGGTTCAAGTCGTGGTTTGGTGAAAGCGTCTCTCTGCAAGTTTGGCTCCTAGTAGCGATGCACTTGTTCCTAGTAGCATCCTTGCTCCTAGTAGTAAGGCCAGGAGCCCCTAGTAGCTTCTTGTTCCTAAACCACTTTCACTCCACTTTCTCCAGTAACTTCGGTCACTGCGAGCTAATCGACTTGACCACGAAACGACTCTTTTTTCACCGGCCCTGGCTTTTCAATTTGCTGTGCTTTAACGCGGAAAACTGCTGTTCTTCAGGTCATTTTCGGAGATGATGTTGTAAAGGAAAAGCGCTTTTTGTATTGGTTTCGGTTCCAGGAATGAAGTGTTGAAGGCTTCAGTCGCTGCGACACTGCCATGGAAGTATTTCTTACTGATTAACACGGCCACGATCTCGGCCTCGTTGGACATGACTTGGTCTCTCTGGAGATGTGGGGCTCCAGTGGAAGGCATGTTATCCTTCTTCCTGGGAAAGGTTTGTGGAACTCAATGCTTCTGGTTTCTTACATCTTTGAAATCGGTTCTTTACCTTTGCGACGGCTTCGCAGTACCGCTTTGGCTCACAAAACGTGCAGGATGTTGGGCTGATTGGTTTCAAAGCCTTTGGATATTTGCGATTTTCTATGGGATGTTTTTTTGGAGGAACCTGGCTTGGGAGCGCCGCTTACCAAGACAGTCTGGGATTGTCGTTGGCCTGGATGACTTTCAGTTTGCTGGCGTTGCTCACAGTTTCCAACACGTGCCACGGCGCAACACGGGCACGCTGAGGCCATTTCAGCACAGTGCAACATGCGCAATGGCCCCCAACCTGCTAGCGATGGCCTCCAATCTAATAGCTTTTTGTTACAAATAGCAAGAATGCCCCTAGTAGCGATGCCAGGAGCCCCTAGTAGCCTCCTACTAGTACAAACAATTTGGGTATCACCTAAACCTGCTGTGTGTGGTCACGCCACGTTTCAGAAGGACAAATGTCACAGGGAAATCCCTGTCGATCGCCTTTCTGGAAAGTGAGGAGTGCATGTTTACGCCGAGCCTTTTGTAAGGCCAACTGGCCTCGCCAACTGGCCAACCCGTCGTTTAACATGTCAAGAGGTGTTGCTTGTGAAACTTGCAGCCTTTGCAGCTGCATGTGACCCTGACAATGCAGCCTTTGCAGCTTTCGGAAACATCGACGAGAAATGTTGCGCAGTCCAACACGAGAAGCCTCGAAGTTCATTGAAAAGAACTGTTGCATGGCCAGTTCTCATTTTTCCAGTGTACCATGAGCAGCGGCCGGCTTTTGGTGGCTGAAAGCAAGCAAGCCGGGAGCTGAAAGAGGGAGAACTTGGACACGAAAGAGTGCAGCAATGCACAAAACGGCAGTCTAACTTAACAGTTGGTGCAAGAAGAGAAGAGAAAAGGAAAACAGTTTTGGCTTCTTGTTACTAGTAACAAGAATGCTACTAGTAGCGATGCCAGGAGCCCCTAGCCGCGTCCTTGCTCCTAGTAGCGATGCCCTTTGCTCCTAGTAGCTTCTTGTCACTTGTTAAGATTCCCTGAGAATCTAGGAGCGAAATGAATAGTGCGAGGGCTTCTTCCAAGCCCTGAGCTTTCCGTCAGGTAGCTAGGAAGCTTCTGGATCGAGTAGCAACCACACCTACTAGCGCCCCTCAAAAGAGTAAAAAAAGCGATCAACATGTATATCTTCATAAAAGGAAGAAACATGCGGACTATCCCGGCAAAAGACTCCAACAGTGTTGCCCTTGACATCTAGAGGTCTAAGGTCTAGAGGTGCAGAAGCAGAAGGTTTGGAGATCTGGACGTACTGGGCTCTAGAGAGGGGTAGAGATGCAGATAGGCCGCGAGGCCATGAGAACTACAAAGGTCTTGAAATCCAGAGAGATCTGGACTTCTGAGTCCCTGAAATCTAGCGCTAGCTCTCTAGTTCTACAAATCTTGTCTACAAATCTTGAGGTCCAAAGATATGAAGAGCTCTAGGTCTAGAAGCCTGGAATCCTACAGGTGTCAAGGTCTAGGGAGGTCTAGAGGTGTAGATGTCTTGAGGTGAGGAAAGGGCACATATGAGAGCACATTTGCTGCGGCCACGAAATCACTTCGAGGTTTACAAAGCGTTGCGCGAGCCACGGACGGCATCGCTACTAGGAGCAAGAAGCTACTAGTAGCTCCTGGCCGTACTACTAGGAGCAAGAAAGCTGCCAGCTCCTCACGCCTAACGAGAGCAGTCAGCGAAAGCGTCCGCCGGCCAGAGAGATTCTGCGAGCCTGCGCAACCAAAATGCACTTCGAAGATCTCAAGAGGCTCAGAATTAGCATTGTTAGCAGCGAATTGGCTAGAACCGAATTGTTAGTGACCACACTGCGTCGAGAGTATTCTTCAAGAGACGGCTCTGGCGTCAACGGCGTCCGTACCGCTGCCTTCTCGTTCGGCGTGAGGTGCGACCTCCATGGTGGAGGCGGGGAATACTGCTGAACGCCATCGCTACTCGGCGATGCCCTTTGCTCCTAGGAAACTAAAGAAAACGAAGGGATGGATACAGAACGCAGCACATCCAGGTTTTCTTGGTTGTTGGAAAGATTCTTTTCACACACACCCACCTATGAGGATTTTGAGTGCATCACATATGTGACATGTCCAAGTGGGCCAAGAATAGGAAGAGAGATGAACAAGGGAAACTCGGTCATACAGCTAAAGTATAAAGAGGCCCTTACGTATATTGTGCGTGTCATCCAAATTTAGGAAACCCTTTCGCAAGCGCCACCATTCAATTTCTATGCGACCGAATTTGCAAACTGTTTGTTGTAGAAACAAGAAGCTACTAGGGGCTCCTGACCTTACTACTAGTAACAAGTGCATCGCTA